CTGTAAAGAGTCTTAAAATTTTATCATTGGGAATGAAATATAACAGGATAAAATAGAATAAAAATAAAAATTTATTAATTTACGCAAGTCGTCACCTAACAGCAGCTTGACCACGTGTCGCGCCCAATCAAAAACTTCAATGCTAAATCAATACTGAATCAACGTTGATTTTAGCGATACATCAACGCTGAACCAACGTTGATTTTAGCGATACATCAACGCTGAACCAGCGTTGAATCAACGTCGATTCCATGAAAGATGGAACACTAAAATCAGTCGTAATTTACATTGTTGATTCAACAATGATTCAACGTTGAATGAACACTGATTCAACATTGAATCAGCGTTGAATCAGTGTTGATTTAAACGTTAATCTAATAATAAAAAACTATAATGCGTATTCAATACAGTTTAACATCAAATAACTGAACCCCCTTGTTTTGGTGTTACCACACGGACAGTACCCCTATAAACGTCAATATATCTGCCCCAAATGTTACTATACAACTTTGTAATTTTTTAAAATTTAATTTTAACGTTTTGATCGACGTTGAATCAACGCTGATTCAACGATGAATCAGTGTTGAATTAACAATGTAAATTACGACTGATTTCAGTGTTCCGTTAGTCATGGAATCAACGTTGAATCAACGTTGGTTTAACGTTGGTTCAGCGTTGATTCAACGCTAAAATCAATGTTGATTCAGCATTGATTCAGCATTGAAGTTTTTGATAGGGCGTTACTACGACTTACGTGACTTAACTTCTGGCAATATATTGCGCCATATAACCGCAAATATATTTGCGGAATACAGCCCCAACAGTCTTATACTTATATAAGTATTCGAACACCAGGGTCTGGCCATGGGTGTAATCCGCAAACATCACCAGCAGTAACAAATGTGAGACGTGACAACGTTGTGTAACTGCTGGTGGTGATTGCGGATTACACCTCATGCCGTTTCGATAAATTCATTACGATACTGGCCAGGGCTTGTCCAGGCCACCTAGCGCTGGACTGGTGTTGAGATACGGCTGTCTAGCGGTCATTTCTTGGGTGCGTTCCGTAAGCTCCAGCAGTTAATCTTCAAATATCTCGGTATTCGGTATCCTAGATGATATTGAAGTGCAAAGGGAAAAGTATGACATATTATCTCTCTCGCACTAATAAGTTACCTACACATTATTTAAATACATAGATTAAACGGCCAGTGCTTACGGAACGCATCCCTTGCCGGGATGCTTGTTACGAACCTGCGAACTTTTAGGCTGCAGTCACATGGAGCGCAATAGAGCGAGCAGGATAGGAATTTCTCCATAAGCGGTTGTGTTAAGTCTATTGCGCTGCAGGATAGTCCTATTGCGCGGCGCAATAGACTTTAACACAGCCGCTTATGGAGAAATTCCTATCCTGCTCGCTTTATTGTGCTTTATGTGACTGCGGCCTTACGGGGACAATTCTATCCTGCACGCTTTATTGCATTCCATGTGACTGCAGCCTTAGATGTTAGTTATGGAAAGAAAATTTTATCTGGAAAAAAAAAGTTATTTGTGTAGGGATATTAAATAATTATACACATTCTTTTCGAGTGGATTTAAAATACATTTAGTAGGGGTAGATAGAGGGTTTGAAAAGGTGATTTGAAAATTGTAGCATTTTGCTAAGTTCAAGGTATGAAACACATAAAATAGTGCTGTATTTTGCCCAAAAATTTATGTATCATAAGTCTAGTTAACATGACATTTATTTTTGGTGAATAATTCGAATGGCTTACAAAAAACTAGCATGTAGTTATCTGCACAATTAATTGTCTAAACCATTTTTTTACATAGTGTAATCAAATTATTGACGAGCTAAGTTATCTGTAGAGTTAATAAAGATGTACAGTAATGCCGTGCTGCTTTTACATGACAAGTGCATTTTTATTTAATTTGAACAAAAGTTGATTAACTACCACTTAACTGTTATGGGTAATTTATTTTGATAATATTTAAAACTCCAACAGATAAGTTAATTATCATTTTTATATATTTAATTGGTCAAAATTCTATTGTACTATTGAATATAAAAAAATATGCGTGACACAAGTACTACATGCTGACAATTTCATAGAATGACGAAAGTCTATCTGATTGAGTACAACCTTATTTTTTTAAAAGATTATGAAATATTTACTGTTTCTTTCCATTCAGTTTTTAATTTCATATATGTTTGGATGATTTTGCTGTAACTGACTCAAAATGACTTTAAATATGGGTTTGAGAAAAAAATCGTTTTTCATGGTATTTTTGTCTTGAATATTATTTAAATCAAGTACTCAAAGCGATTTTACGATTAAGTTATTTGATCCAATAATATGACATTTTGTGTAAGTCAATTTTCGAATACGCATACATATATGTTTGTAGCATGGAAAAAATTTGTGTATAATTTGTTTGTAGTATGTGTGGGTGAGCTGTGTAGATAGCAGAAGTCTACTTATCAAGCTTATACAAAAGATGGTATCTATCATGATTGATTAAAATTTAAATTTGTTTAAGTTAGTGCCGCACATCGAAAGTTACTGTGGTGGAAAGAAGAGTAATGAAAACCATTCAAAAATGACATAGTGTCAATAGTTGTTGAAAAAACGCTATTTCTCTTTCAACTGCTAAAACTTTTGATTAGTATCACCAATAATTGGTACTAAACCTAATGTAATCCATAGGGCTTGATCACAGCCTAAACGTAAGATAAATTATAACCTTTGGAAATGGAGTACCTTTTTAGCTACTTAACTTGATAATATTACCGTTTATTTATGTACCTCACGAAAAAATGCTTTTTAGTACAAATGCCGAAACATGTGTCAATTGTCTTAGCACAACAGTAATGGAAAATATTTTTGGTTAATGGAGAAAAAGAAACTTAACAATTGATCAGGGTAATTCAGAACAATATTTTTATACTGCAGATCATTAAGTCAGTTAAATTATTTTCACAAAGTGGAATGGAAGCAATAATACCTTTAAAAATAATTCTTGGAAGTATCAAGAAATTGTTCAAACACGTAAAGTTTTTTACAGTAAAAGGCAAAAAAAAATTGTTTAGGGAGTTTAGTGCCAATGTATTGAAAGTGGTAATTTTAAGTAATAAAATTTCTAAATGATTTTTATGTATAGCTCGAGAATTTCTCTTTTTGAATCTAAATGTTATGATTATTTTACAGTTAAATGATAACATTTTTGTTAGGAATAGCTTAATAATTCATTTCTTAATTTAATTTCGTTACAGGACTTTTTTTATCTTTACTCCAAGTTACAAGGGGTTGTAAGTACTATGTGTCGTATAAAAAAATTTTTATTCAATCTCTGTAAGAGTCTTAAATCCAAATCATAAGGACTATAGAAGCTGCGCTGATTTTCGTATAAATGTGTAAATGTGTTATTAGTGTAATAATCATAATGTATAAATTAGGAATGTAAATACAAGCCAAAAAATGAAATATATATTTTTCGTCAAATATTCATGTATAATTTAATGTATGTCATAATTCGTTGGTAATAGTCATATTTAATATAAGGAGCTGTGTTGGCTCGGTATAGTTGGAGCAATGATGCGTAATTATAGCATCAGCAAAATAACTGGACGACACTTGGTAACATNAAATAAAAGAGATAAGAAAATATTGTGAATTCGTTTTGTCATTAAGCATGTTTGTTCGTTTTCTCCATTCACATTTGCAAAAAAAAACACATAAAACGCTGTAGTGCTTAATCTCTGTTGTATAAGTTGGCGAAAGGAACGGGATTTTTGGGCTCGATCTCTGCTGCATAAGGCAGCGAGAGGTACAGGATTTTTAGGCTTGATCTCTGCTATAAATTTTTAAATAAATTTAAATAATTTTTTCATCGCCCCATATTTCGGTTCTCGATGAATAGGGAGCATTAGTTTAAATGGACGAAAGGTTGGAAATCGCTTCTGCTGCAATGTTACCAAGTGTCATCCGGTTATTTTGCTAATGCTATAATTACGCTAACTATCATTGCTCTAACTAGTAGTAAGCATGTTCAGTACTGAAACAATACCGTTCTAGGGGTCGTTAGTTCGATTCCCGGTGAAAGCAGATTTTTTGAAAAACTGTTTTTATCGGAAAAAGTTACTATGAGACCCTACCTGTTTTGGGTCGGGTTTTTCCATAAGAATTTCCTTCAGATATTTTTCCAGGCCTTTTTTCTTGCCCCACAGGTATTCAGGCCTGGGTAAATGTGATTTAGTGTTAAGGAGGTTGACTATACGTTTGGAGGGGGGTACAAGAGAGAGGTGCATGAGATCTGTCACCCTTCCGAAAAAGTTTGTAAGTTGGTAACACTACATGAGATCTGTCCACCCTCTGAAAATTCATTAAGTATGGTAAAGTAATGCTACGAACTTGTCGACCAAACAGCCGTCCCAAACCTGGTGCGAGATTCAAATAGGCTACATGGGCAAAAACGTGAAAAACTAGATAACACCTCAGAAATAATTTGTGATAATAAATAACTACTAACTAATGATGCGTACATATCATAATGACTCAGTGTTCTTATTTAATGATTAATAAATAATCCTCATTAATAAATACTCATTTATAAATAATAACGAGCGCGCGGTGGCTCACTCGGCTATAGGTCGTGGATTGTACACGGGAGACCGTGATTCGATTCCCGGCCAGTGCGACTTTCCGGGTAAGTACCTCTGTGATTTTTCACATGTGCTTTTTCACCATGCAATGCTCCTCGAGGAGGGTTTAGGCGACCTCGTAGCAAAAATTGCCTAATTTCTCCCTACCCCCCTCCTCCAGATTTCTCAAATCCTTATTAAACAACGAATAAGAGATGATGTAATAAACGTATGTAATACAGTTAATATCACCGTGCTTCTTCGATTTTTAATATTAAATGAGAAACATCGAACTGCGTACATGCTAATGACTCAGCCCACTTGTTCAATGAAATTCAAATATAATAATTAATTGGAAAAACGCTTCTTTATTTTTCATATAACGCTTTAAGGCATGAGTAATCTAAAACTTTTTTACACGTTTACGCAGCGCATTCAACGAAAATTGATCACCTACGAAAGAACACGTACTAGACGCTTAAAAATAGTTGATAAGTACACAAAAAAGTGATGATACTTTTTTGGGAAGTCCTTTCACCAAATTTTATTGCTTCAATTTTGCACATCAGAATTGAAATAGAAGGCTTTATGCAATCAGAAGTGTCGAATAGTCGATTTTTCAGGTATGAAATTTTTTGAAATAGTTCAAGGAAATCAATAATTTTTTAAAGAAAGAACTTATTTCTTATTAAAGGGTACATGGCAAAAGTTTCTTTAAAAGGTAAATAATAATCATCAAAAATCTCCGATAATGTTCGATAAGTTCAGTACTATCTAATAATTGTTAAGTTTTTTGAATGAAAACGAAGTAATTTTTTATAATAATTTTTGTTTTTTCAACGTTTTCACTATAAATTATCGAAAATTATCGATAAATGCTAAGGATTATTAAAATTTCTTATAAAATCAATTAGGCTTCTTCAAGAATATAAAAATGATTGTGAGATTGTCTTAAAATACATTTTTTTTCAAACTTTTCTATTAGGAGTATAAAAACCTACTACATATATTTCTTGTAGTAATAATTATGATTAATATGTTTTATACAATATTCGTACAGTACAAAACTATTTAATAGCAAGCAGAATATGTTCAACGATAATATAATACTACAAAAACATTTTATTACGAGATATAAAACATACGGAAGGTTTAAAACGAATTGTATTATTAAAACATGTTAATCCGTACACCAGGTAGGATTTCGTGGCCTATTCTATTATGTCCCAAGCGCACGGCGTACGACAAACGAGTTCTATGAAACAAAAATCAATCCGCCAAGTAATTTCCAAGAAATCTAACAAGTTTACGTTGCTGTCCGAGTTAATGTATTTTGTTTAACTGAAAAATTACATTTTCTATTCCGCAAAAAGTTTTAGTTTATAGTATTACTAGACACTGTGCTACCGTAGATCAGAAACAAAAGCCTTAACCACCGAAGTACACAAGGAAATTACATGTTATGCCAAAGGATTATTATCACAACCACCAAGCAGCAGATATCATTATGGAAACAGGCTGTAGCGCTAAACATATCAGCAAAAGAGATAAGCTGTAGTGCTTATTTTCAGCTGCATAAATCGGCGAAAGAGACAAACTGTAGGATAGATCAACCAAGGAGACAGGCTGTAGTGCTCTATCTCTGCTAAATAAGTCGGCAAATGATACAGGATTTTTGGGCACGATATTTGCTGCATAGATCAGTTAAAGAGACAGGCTGTAGTGCTCAATCTCTGCTGCATAGGTCGGCGAAAGGGACAAGATTTTTGGCCTCGATCTTTGCTGCATAGATCGGCAAAAAAGACAGACTGCAGTGCTTTTTTTTTTGCTGCATAAATCGGAAAGATGGTAGACTGTAGTGCTCGAATTCTGCTTCAGGGATCTGTGATCGTTAAAAGAGACAGGGTTTTTGCGCTTGATATTTGCTGCGTAGATCGGTAGAAATGACAAAATTTTTGCGCTGGGTCTCTGCTGCATAAATCGGTGTTAGGAACAGAATTTTCACGCTCGATCTCTGCTGCATATATCGG